CCTGAGAAAGTTGCTTCCTCTAATCAAGTTGCAGACATGCTCACCAAGGTTCTTCCTGTCAAGCTTCATAACTCTCATATGTCCAAGTTGAGAGCTTCATTATCTCACTCACAAGCTTGAGGGGGAGTAATAAGATTATTATCATAATCTTTCCATATCAGCTTCCATGTCATACTTTCAAGAATATTTTTTGTTTTGCTATTTTGTCTTTTTCCTTAACGGTTTTCTCATGTTCATTGTATGAATGATTAGTTGTTCTAAGTTTGTTGCTAGATTTCCTGAGCTTATTCTATAAGGGTGTAAGCTGGATTCTCTTTTCATTCAAGCAATCTAATCATACTCTCTCTTTCTCTTTGAATTCTCTCTAATATCCTCTGCATTGAATAATTGCATAATGATTTGATTTAATCATCAAAATGGAATTAAAAAAAAGGCACTACATTTAGCAGTTTATCAATACACGTAAATTACATAAGTAGTATAATTGGAAAAACAATACTCCTTCCATTACATATTGTTTTCTTATTTTTCTTATTTGAAATCTTTTTGTGTGAAAATATTGATCGAAGTAGGATAAACAATATGAAACAAAGGAGAGGTTGTTATATACACCAAGGAGATTGTTATATACACCACTTTGTTCTCATTTTGATGATTATTTTCTTTTAATCATCAAATGATAAGCAAAAACTTCAGGTTAGTTGGGTACACGATACACACGAATGTGTATAAAATATTTCAGAAACCTAGGAGAATTGAACATAAGATGAGATATAGATTGCTGGCATATAATCCCTAGTCCATACCTATCCTATAAGTAGTGCATGAAACAAGCGTAGAATTCACTAGTCTTGTCACCACCAGCGTATTGCTCAAATATATCCTTTCCAAAATAAAAGAACTTCGACCCTCCTTCTAGCGCAAGTACAAATGTACAATTAATATCATTATTATTCTTCACAGTTACAAGGTTTTTTTAAGGAAATTTTCACATTTGCTACCAGTAAAAGGACCCTGCTTCACATTTACTACCGCTTTAATTTTTTAGGAAAATTTGAATTTTAGTACCTCGAATATGGGGGTAATTGAATTTTAGTACCCATCTAAAATTTTATTTTAAATTAGTACCTCCAAAATGACAAAACTATAGGTTTCAGTACCTCCGTCTAGTTCCGTTAAGTTTTCTGTTAGTGGAGCCCAATAACTAATTATTTAATAATTTAATTTATTAAAAAAAAAGGAAAAAAATTTGTAAAAAAAAACTAAAAAAATAATAATAAAAAAAACAGCCACTGCCACCACCGCCGGCGCCGGCTTCCGGCTGTTGGTGGCCGAATTCCCCTGGCACCGGCGCCGGCCACCCCTTCCCTTTCTCTCCCTGTTTTCCCCTTCCCTGGCACCGGCGCAACCACCACCATCTTCCCTCCCTTCCTCGTTCCTGGCCGCGACACCCCACCCCTCCCTTTCCCTCCCTGTTTTCCCCTTCCCCGAAACCCTAGCGCAACGGTGGCCGTCACCCTAACCCAGCCCCATCGTTGTCTCCCCGACCCGAAGCCGTCGCCGAACTACCCAGATCAGACCCCAACCCAAACCAGCCCAGCGAGAAGCCCCCATCGTCATCTCCCGACTCCAAACCAGCGTCGAACTACCTAAACTAGCCCAGCAAGAAGCCGACTGCAACAAATCAACCCACCACCGCCCCAGTTTTCCTCTCCCTTACCCAAAAACGTCGTCAAACCAGGGTACAGTTGGGCTCGTTTCGAAGGTCGATCGAGCTGAGGGTGGTCGGACGGCTGGTTTCGTGGTTCGAGGAAGGTCGGCCGGCTGACTTCGTGGGTCGAGGGTGGTCAATTGGGATGGGTGACGGCGATGGGGGTTAGCGGCGTCGGTGGTGGCCTTCCATTGACTCTCTCTTTCTCTCTCTTCAAAATCAAAGCTTTTCATCAATGGATTTTTTCTGCCTTCCATTGACTCTCTCATTAATAGTTTTTGTTGTTTCCTGTTTTTTAGATCTGAAAAAATGTTTTTGTTGTTGTTAATTTGGTTGATGGTTTCTGGGTTTTTGTTGATTAATGATTTGATGAAATGGGTATGTTTTAGATCGGTTGAATATGGATGATTTTGAGATGGAAGATGAAATTCGACCCGATATTCCATGCCCGTATTGTTTATTAATGAGAGAGTCAATGGAAACAACCAAATTAATTATTTTTTTAAGTTTTTTTTTTTATAAAATGTTTTTTCTTTTTTTTTAATAAATTAAATTATTAAATAATTAGAAATGGGCCCCACTAACGAAAAACTTAACGGAACATGGACGGAGGTACTGAAATCTACAGTTTTGTGTTTTTGGAGGTACTAATTTAAAATAAAATTTTAGATGGGTACTAAAATTCAATTACCCCCATATTCGAGGTACTAAAATTCAAATTTTCCAATTTTTTATTTTACTTTGCTACTATCTAAATTAGAGTTTGTTAAAAATCACAACCACTTAACGAAATCCGTTAAGGTTCCGTTAAATGGGGCCCAATATTTCATTAAAAATAATTTAATTTATTTTTTAAAAAAAAACTTAAAAAAACAAAAATCCCCAAACAGCTACCGAAACCACCAAACAGTCACCTACCCCCCTCCCCTTGCCGGCGCCCAAACGTTCCCCTGACGTCGGCGAACCCCTAGACCACCACCACCGACACCACCGTAACCCCAAAACCCGGCGACGCCCCATACCACCACCACTACACCACCCTAACCCCCAAACCCAGACCACCACCAGCGAAAGCCCTATACCCAGAACACCACCACCCACAAAACCACTAAACCCACAAACCCAGACCACCACCACCACCCACCGAAATCGCCAAACCTAGACCGGTCGGAGCAGGGCTGGGATCGGGTTTCCAAGGATTGCGATTTAATTGGTGGTGTTGGGTGCCTGGAGAACTTGTTCGCGTCGATTTGTGGTTTATTGGTAGGCATGAGGGCTGGTGGCTAATTTGCGGCTGATTGGTGTCGGTTTGGGGGAAGGGAGAGAATAGGGGTGGCGGGAGTGGGATGAGGTGGGTCACCTGGTGCGACTAAGGGTGTCTAAGGCGCTGGCTGAGGGTGGGACGAGGGAGGGGGTTGCTGCTGAGGTGGGGAGGGGTGGTGGCTGAAGGTGGCTAGGGAAGGAGTGGTTAGGCGCCACTAACGGAAATAGTAACGGTGTAAGACATCCGGTAGTGATTAGTAGACTGAATCCACAACGATAGCGGTGATACCTGTCACACAAACAATACATGGGCTATGCGATACCATGAACCCAAAACATTTGTTGGTTGCACTGTTACAAGATATCTTAATCTTCCAAATCCGCACTTTTTTGGGTTGGCTCGGGTTGAAATAGGCCATGAGACCAAACCTTTGTTGATCACCTCTAGAACTAATCAAAAACGCAAATTTGTGCCATTTTATTTTGAGTTTTTTTTTTTAAAAAAAAATCTTATAAAGAAATTTTTTGGAAAAATTGTCAAAAATAATACAAATTTTGAGTGGTCGGCAAAAAACAAGTCAAAGTTTGATTATTTCTAAATAATACAAACTTTAAGGGGAATCTGCTTTAAGCGAGAAATTTACCTACAACCTAAATGACAAGTAATTTTTTTTATTATTATTTTTATAAATCCATTAAACAATTTAATTAACACATAATTAACATTTAAGCTATAGTTAATTAATAATTAGGAACCCCTCAAAAAAAAAATTAATTAGGAAAAACCACTACTCCCCACCACCAGCAGATCTCCTCCCCCACTTCCACCCTCGGTGGCGCCAGCAAGCCTTCCCGCCCTACTGTCATCTTCCCCCTCCCCAAACCGCCACTATCCCACTACCGAACTCCCTTCCCCTAAAATCCCTCTCCTTCCCCACGGTCTCTCTTTTGTAATTATTGGTTTTTGAGAAATTTGTTGTGATCCTTCTTTGCTTCAATAATTTATCTTGAGGCCTGAATTGTTATTTTATTCAATGATATGTAAATTTATTTTCTTGGTTACTGCAACATATATAGATTCGGCAGAATTCAAGTTAATCTCTGAGATTGACACAAAAAGTTAATCTCCTCTCACATTACTTTTACTTTTTAAATAATAAAAGTGAAATAGTAAAGTGGCACAAAAACATATGCATAAAGTTGTGAGATGAGATTAACTTGGAATATTAATCTCGGAGAATATCTTAAATGAATTATGTGGATAAATTATGGACTTCTTTATTAATACTCCAATGCAGATGTCCAATTTTGGGCTTGCAAAGTGGCTTCCAAATCAATGGAACATTTCAATTAAGCTTCCTGAATATCATTATGGTTTGAAGGAAATTTGGGTTGGTAGATTGAAAAAAAATGATTTTTTTTTGTAGCCCATTGTTTACTGGTCGTCTGTCATTGGATTTCATGGGTGGGGCAAGGGGCAGCGCAATTGGGGTTTCGTGGAGGGGGATTTTGTGGGTTTTTATGGTGGGTGAAAGTCGGGGAAGGGAGTGGGAGCCTGGGAGGGGTGGGGGTGCCAGAAACGGGGGAAGGGTTGAGGCGCCGACAGGGTGTGCCGAAGGGCCGAGAACCGGGGAAAGAGGATGAACAGGAAGAGAAAGGGGTGGCTGGTGGGTAGGTTTTTTAATAATAATAATAATAATAATAATAATAATAATAATAATAAATCTTTTAAAAAATAAAAATATTAAATAGATAAATAAAAATTCAAATTAAATTATCAAACCAATAAAAACAATGACACGTGTCTCATGTACGTATCAAACAAGTCACTAACCGATCCTAACTTGTTTAAAGCGGACACTTTACAAAGTTTATATTATTTAGAAATAATCAAAAGTTTAACTTGTTTTTGGCAGACCGCTCATAATTTGTATTATTTTTGACAATTTTTCCAAATTTTTTTTACTATTTAAATCTGGATATGCCAAAATCCGATGCTAAACAATCTACTTGTAGCGCAAGTACATCTCTACAGCCTTGCCATTCATAACTTTCTGCACATAGGGATCTTTTAACCAACAATCACTTCACCAAAATGTCAATTCTATAAGATGGAGACTGTCTGAATTGATGCAAATCTTCGACTATACATAGAATTCAATTTACTCTAAGTATCAAAATTTCCTTTCTGGTATATACAATTGAACACTTTGCAAAAATAAAACGCGGAGAATAATTTACATTACAAATAATCACTAGTAATGAAAGCTGCTCAACGTCACGATGCTCAGACCTCTATATAACTTAATGCAATGGTATACTGTCCCACCAGCTGTTATTGTTGGGGACTCTGATTTCCCATCTCAGATTTGCTTGATTCTTCAAGAGACCCATTATTTTCGGTGTATGCAGGGCTTGAAACCACTATGTTGCTCTTAGAAGAAGCTGTGTTAGCTACCCTATTATCTACAGAGAAAACTTCCTGAGCCTTAAATTGAGGCTTAACAAATGATACCCCGATCTTTTGTCCATGATTCAGTCCTCGACAAAACCCCTATAAAGCATAAAGAAAATTTTGTAGAACAATTTATAAATCGGGGAAATGGGGTTCAAAACTACTTGCCATGCAATAAATAAATCTTACTGTAGCAAAAACCAACTTCAGATTCAATGCCTTGATATTTAGGCAATAACCACATTTGATTAAGTTGGCAGAGGAAGGGTTTAACAAATTCTACTCATTAGGTCTATCCATTATAATAAATTAATAACAAAATAATCCTATACACACACCCAATCCACCCTTTCCTAGAGGCAAAGAGAGTGATTTTTCTCTTGTTTGCTGTCACATGATTAAAACCTGCAAATCACAAATTTATACTCACTCCGTTTCACAATCATCTAAATATTTATTATTTGCACAAATATTAGAGTAGCAAGAGAGAAAGTAAATGGATAAAGTGTTAAAAGCTGGGTGGGTGTATGAAAAAGGTGGTTAATGGAAGAGAATGATCCAAAATAGGTAAATGTTGTGCAGTAAGAGGGGCAAGAATTCAAAAAGGATGTGTCAAATACAAAGTACAGAGTAAAACATCTTGTTATAAACATTTTTAAATGGACCAATATGGCAAATGTTAACACTGTTGTGAAACAGAGATAGTATGCAACAGTTGTATCCCCATTGTTTTTATATGTTTCTCCTGATTGGCAGAAAAGAGAAGCAAGAGCATGAAGTACAAACTTAATTGAAGCTTCAAACAGGCACCCAAGCTAAAAAGCATGTGCATATGAGGCTGCATACAAACAGAACGTTCAACATAAAACACACTGACCTTCACCAACCCTGAGCTGGAACTTGTCGTCCTAACAGGTAAGGCAGATAACAATTCATTGGGCCCCCAACCTCTATGGTGAACTCCACTACCATTTGCTTCTTGGGATTTCCTGGAGATATCAGAAGAGTGTAGTTCTTGCCTCAAGCTGCTATTATGGCTCCTACAGTAGGCACCATAATATGAACAATGTTCACGTACTAGGGATATTTGAGGGGTTGCAGGTAGCAGGTGGCCTTCAGTACTGAATATATAACTGCAAAGGAACAAATAACAAAACACTGGATAATTGGAACTGCAAAAGCCATTCTGTAGAACTTATTCCCCCCCCCCCCCCCCAAACACACACACACACACACACACACACACACACACACACCAATCCTTTCTCAATTGATTTAAGTACACAAACCTATATGCATGGCATATTGGAACTTACTTGTAAGGTCCGCTTTCAACAAGATTATCAGCACCCACTGCCAAATCAAATAGCAGCCACAGATATTTAACCTGAGCACGAATGTAACTTGCATTAAAAAAAAACAAAGTTTTACAGCACCAAAACCTGAAGCAAAGTTTATCATACATGCTGCAATTCTAGACGTCTAACACGGCACAAAAGTGCATTTGGGTTGTATTGATTATCTCAGAATTTTACCCAAGCAAAACACCAGATAAACAAATCGACACCACTGACACAAATTTGGAACATTTTAGGTAAATCAATGCCAATCAACTCTGCAAAGAAATACTTTAGTTTATGAAAACTATTCTATTACATCACATAAAGGGTAATACCAAAAGAGGACAAGGTGTCCTCAAAAAGAAATTCCAAATACTACATGTCAGCCAAATTTCTTTACACTTGTATCTCTCTAGAGAATAATTTGAGAAAGCCTTTGCCCATAAAGAAGAAGGCAAATTACTTTATTCCATATCAAATCATATGGGATAGTAATACCCTTATAATTCGACCATTTCTTTCCAGCCAAACACACTACAAGATTGCCATCATGCTATTTCGCCAAAGAAACTTCTCCTTTGCCCTATCAAAACTCAAAATCGAATCTGCACCCACTCTTGAATGTTCGAAAAGCACAGCCAAGCACATCAACATTGGACCCAACACAAGCGCACACACAAAAGTTCTAAGGTAACCAAAAATTGTGAGTACCAATGAGGACGCAGTCATGCGAGCACACACACCACACACAAACACACGCACAAACAAACAAACACACACGCGCACACACACACATGCACACGTACGAGCGCGCGCGCACACACACACACACACGTTGAACCAAATGAGCTTACAAAACACTTTTCACAAAAGATTCTTGAGAAATTCTCATCATATACATTACCTGTGTATAGCAATCTATGTAACATGGACACAGGTATGAGTATCCAAATATTATAGATCAGAGTGTTTAGCATGTCATTTCCAAAAAATTTAGACACGATGACACCATCTTAACTTTGGACAGGTACGGGGATATAATTATTTCAAAAAATAATAAGTTTATAAGTGTCCATCAAAAAGACTGTATTGTTATACTTAAGACAAACTGAATATATAACATAACAAAAAAATAAATCGAATATACATTTTCTACTTCCAAAGTTCTGCTGCAGCAAATAGCAACTTCAGCAACCTTGCCACACCTGATGACAACAGGGCGTGTTTGGTCCTTATACCCCGAATCTGTGTTGGGCCGTTTACCAATACAATAGAACTTCAACCAAGATAACCTAATAGCTCTTTTGGGAAACCTATAGGTACCAACTATTATTTTGTTCAAACATAAATACCATAATTAAGAAAAAAATTATTTTCCTGATATGATATCGAAACCAAAATCTTTATGCACAGGAGCACAAACTTGCAGTTCAAATATACAAAACAGGGAGAATAAATTATTAGAAAAGATTGATTCGTCATTTAGATATAAGACTCACAGTTTCAGCTAGGAAAAAGCTCTCCATGTGATCTTCTTGCTTGTGATTCTCAACATCTGTTATATGACAATATCCACAAGGACATCGGGCCCCATATTGCAAGCTGGAAACAATGTCACGTCCTACATCCAGATACCTTCAAGTACAAAATGATTTGGAATAAGATATACACCTAGCAACAAAAACTAAAGGCACAGCAATGGTTCTGAATATTGTGCTAAGCTGCCCTCATAGAGAGGAGAGAGACAGAGAGAGGTACTAAAAGAGATCAACGACTTGAAGGTATTTGAGATGGTGACACTAAAGTACGATTTAGTAAATAGTTTCAACAGACTGCATTACCTCAGATAGTCTGTAGACAAACACCGTGTCTTAAACCATCAATAAATAGTAAGCTAGGGAAACTTAGAGGTTGGAAAGTTTGATTAAACCATCTTTTGTATAGAACAAAAGAAGCTAAGTGATATATGTGTTTCATATGCTATTTTATCCCCCGTCCCACAGTCATTTATATACATATTTGAGCTCTTCGGAGCTACTTTTAGCACTAATGTGTGGTTTCAAGTGTTTCGTAGAGTTGGCATTTGTTTTGTAGGAATTTCCCGAATTTGTCGGTAATTCCTATGGTTTTTTGGCCACTACGAGATATTGAAGCTTGTAGCACATTCATGACCGTTGATTGTAGCCCAAGACCGATCATATCGGTGACTAAGGGCTTGGTTCGTGGAATTGGTCCGAGCAATGGACCAAGAAAGAGTGGCTCTTGATATTTGAAGCCCAAGGAAACATAGAAGAGAAGCCACGACCAAAAGAAAACCGAGCCTGATCGGCAGCCTATGGCTCGATCAGGCAGTTGCCCAGAACAAGAAACAGAGATAAAAGGCGGGCCCGATCGGGTGGCCCTTCGCCCGCTAGGGCGCATGTATTTTTAGGCGGCTTAGGATTTTCTGTTTTGGCTAATCTTCGAGTTTAGTTATAAGTCTCTTCTTGTAATCTTGTTTTAGTACGCTTTTCATTATTCTCTTTTCAAACTAAAAACTTTAGAGAGATTTTTAGTTGTTGATTATTGTTAAACTAAAGTTTTCCCCTTTTAGTGCAATTTCATATTTTCCTTCTTTCGGTATAATTTCTTCTCTCCTTTATTGCTTATTTTCTTACTTTGTTCTTAAACATGTCTTTTTCATATGACTTGATTAGTTTAAATTTAATTACGTGTGAGTAGTTTAATTCTAGAGTTCTTGGGGGATCCATAATTAATATGAAGGGATAATTTGTTATTGTTGATTATTGATATTGCATGGTGATTTCTTATTGAATTGTTTTAATTCTTTACAATTGGATTATGAATCGAGCAGATGTGGTATGATTGTAAAAGTATAGCAATATTGAATTGATGAATTGAGCAGATGTTAATTTGATATTAAAGGCTATATTCAATAGGAACTTAGATCTTGTAGATTGCGAGAGCGTGTTAGATCTATGTTGATTAATAAATTGCAAGAACCTGTTAATCATGTTATGTTTGCAATATTAATTGTTGATTGTTATGTTTTATCCCAAAATATTAATTATTGGTGAACCTGTAACCCTAGGCTTTTTATTTATTGATTTCTCCCTATTCTTAATCTCCTTAGTATAATTCCCTTAAACAATAAATTGGTTAGTTGATAGTTTGGATTATTTTAATTAATTAGGAACGTTTCCATGTGGATTCAACCCTACTTCCCTATATACATTAGCTAGAGGATTTACGTAATACTTTTGATTAGGTGATACGACATTAACCCATCACTAAGATAATTTTCGCAATGTGATTTTTCTTTTTTTCAAATGGCCAAACTTCTTTCACAATACGTTGTACAAGTCAAATAATTACCACCATTATAGATTCCTTATAACTACCCAATGCCATTTGGGATTCTTTTTATCACAATTTATACTAAAGATTAAGAAAAGATAACTTTTACAAGTCCCTATGGTATATATGCACACCATATGATATCGATTTAGACCTTTATCTTAACATTAATCTTGCTTTTAGTCTCGCTTAGTCTTCTTACTTGATGTTCTAATCCAAATTATAAAATATTTAGTTTTCATAATCTTAGTTTCCTATTAATATTTCTTTACTCTTATCTTATCTTGATTAGCGTTAAATTATTTCATGGATGATAATTTGGTTTGTTTAGCTCATGATTTCTCCTTGTTCAATTAACACTTAGTTAAAATAAATAAATTTGCATTTGAGCATACTGTATTTCATTTTTGTTTCTATTTGAAACTGTGGTTCTAGCAAATTCATGATTACTTCTAAGGATTTTTGAGCTATACCATAGAAGAATTTTTAATATTGAGATTGAACATGAATATTGAGTAGATTTTTTTGCTAGGGATAGGTAGGTGGGTGGATTTTGTAATTCTTGGACTTAAGGGGTTGGGATTTAGAATTCTTAATTAAAACCTTTTGCCTTATTGATTTAAGTCGATCTTGTTGCTTTTCTTTGATTGATTGAGTGTTGCACGATTTACCTATAATTCTTTGATAATGTGGCCTAGGAAAGTCTATTAGTTAATTCATCTTAATTGGATATGTAAGTATGGAAAGAAAGTCCATGCTTAACAAACTACTCGCCATTGAAAGGTGAAGAGAGTTTACTTAAATTCAACAATTCCGACTTGGCTTAGTTTAAGATTCAATTTATCCCCTACCCCATTTATCCTTGATTACATGACCCCAACCACCCCAATGTGGTGTTTACCTAGATTGAATTTCATTCTAACTTTTGTGATTTTGTTAGGTTATTAATATCTCGCTTACTTTCTTTGAATTGGCTTGGTTTTGGATTATGTATCATGTTTGTTAGTGTCGTCCTTATGGATTCTCTACCCTTGCTTAACATTGTACATGTATTAGGGTTCGAACTTGGTTTTGTTAGATCTATGAGTTTTGTTTAGACCACGCAAAATTTCCCTTATCAGTGATATGTAAACAATAATGGTACTCCAAGAAAAAAAAATAAAGTAAAAAAAAAAAAAAAAAAATATTCCCTCAAAATACAAACCTGGTATCTCTGGTAGCTTTGTAGAGCCAATAAGTACTCTCGGCTAATTCTGGACGCAGTGGATAGCTTTTCTGACCTTGCTGAAATTAAATTTTTAAATCAGGTACTGCATCATAGCCTCTCTTTTACAAATATTGTTCAAATATTTTGGCTTGCTTATTGAGGATTGTCACGTGACTAATACACTATACATAATTTTTTTAGTCAACACCTTTATCACATAGAAAAGGAAAAAGACAGGAACTTCTTTTGAGGACATCCCAATTCAGTAATAAGAATTCCAATTTGAGATGAAGGTAGTACTCTGATACTTGCATAAAAGGAATTTCTTGTGGCTTAGTAAAGAAAATCATATATAGTATGTAGGTATTGAAGTTTACAAGATGAAAGAACTGACACCAATCATACAACAAGAGCTACAGTGCATTACATATAGTACAATGAATAATAAAATGATAAATTTTTATAATTCAACCAAAGGTGCCAGTAAGAAGCATTAGCTGAATACTAATTCAAGGAAAACATCAATTTAAAATGGCTTTTAATAATGAACAAAACCAATTTCCTAAACTCACATAACTGTCCTACTAATAATAGCTATGAGGAAACTTTTGAGAATTTACCTGAACATTTAGAGTAGCCAGATTAAAGCCCTCAGGGGTGAATCCATATCTTTTCCAAACACTGTAGAAGGCAGCATGTGTACGAATAGCAGGATCAACATCTCCAGCTAAAACCTTATAAATACAAAGGGTATAAATTCTTCTTGCATGTCATCAATACAACTTCAAGTTGAAGATGGCTTATATCACTTCTATTTATAAGTAATTCCATTGTAATTGTGTGTTTTTTTATTTAAGGAAACCATTATAATTGTGTTAGAAGTATGTATTACCTGCAAGCCAGGCCAGAATGCTTGTAAACTGTTGAATAATGGCCATACAATAGCTGCAGAATCCATATTTACTTCTACATACCTAAATGGATTTCCCCATCACATCAGTAATGCTGGTAAACCAAATCAACAATAATGAGATCAAAACATGTAAATACTTACCAGGGATCAGTGAAGAGATAGTGCATTACAGCTCCATAAGCCTCTTGAAACATGTAAAGATATTCTTCATCCCCAAACAGTAAAAAAGCCTGGCAATTATGGTTGACCATTGATTATGTACTTAGCCATTTCTTTTTAGTTTAGAGGATAGATTAGTATAATTGTGTATCCAACAAGTATTATATATATATATATATATATATATATATATATAGGGGAGGGATCCGGTGAGAATAAGTTCATATGTGAGAATTCATACTTATATGAAACTGATTTTAAATTTAGAACATGTGAGTAAAAGTTTAGAACATACGAGTAAAAATTTAGAACATGCGTCTGAAATTAAAATTTAGAACATCTGAGTAATAATTTAGAACATCTAAGTGAGTAATATGTTTAGAACATTTGATTTAAGAATTAGAACAAGTGATTAAAAATTTATAAAATCTGCTTTATGAAATTTTAAACATATGAGTAAAATTTAGAACATTTGATTTAAGATTATGAACATGTGAATAAAATTTTAGAACAAACAAATATAGAATATAGAAAGTGTGAGTAAAAAATTTAGAGCATACGAGTAAAAATATAGAACATACGCTTTAAAATCTGGAACATATAATTAAAAATCTTAGAACACACATTTTAAAATTTAGAACATATAAGTTAAAATTTTGGAACAAGTTATTTAAAATTTATGATATTAAACTTAACTAATTTATGGTTTAGAACATGTGAATACTAAATTAGAACATTTGATTTAATTTAGAACACCTAAGGAAAAGTTTAGAACATCAGATTTAAAATTTAGAACATACAAGTAGAAATTTGGAACATAAAGAGTGTTCTCACATAAGAAAAATTCTCACGAGAGCCTCCCTCTATATATATATATGTCGCTTCCATTTTACAAGGGAACGCTCGCATTTTTTTAAGGAATTTCCATTTTTACCCTTAACATATAAATACGGAATTTCCACTCAACAACTCACATTTTCACTCTCTAACATCTTTCACACGCATTTTATCTCTTTAACTCTCTAAAAATTTTAAAAATTAAAATCTGAAAATTTTACAAAAAAAAAAAAATAAGGGGCCATTTGGTTCGCACGGGGTAAACGGAATGGAATGAACAAAGGGAAAGAAAGAGAATGGAATGGAAATACCTCAAATTTAGTATATTGTTTGTTTTAAAAAAACAAAGAGAATCAAACCACCCATTAAACCACCACATCACCACCACACACAACCTATTTCCTTCACTTCCCACATTTTCCAGCCACCACCCCACCACCGTTCGCTGCGCTTCCCCCATCAGTTCGCGCGATTCGCCGCCCTCCTCTCCCCCCGCAAACACCTTGCCTCCCTCGGAAAACTTCACCCAAAAACCCTAGAAACCCCTTCTCCTTCCCCATATAACCATCATGCGACCCTCCCTCCACCGTGTAAACCTTAGCGGCTAGGGATTCGAGGGTGGGGGAGGGTCAGGCGACGGTTTTACGAGGAGAAAAAAGGGGGTTTACAGGGAGAGAGAAGGGGGTTTAACGGGGAGAGAGAAGGGGATTTCAAGGCTGGTAAAGTTTTTCCGGGGGAAAGGAGGGGCGACGAGCGGCGGGGGAGAGGCGCGAAGCACGCCGAGTGGTGGGGGAAGTGTGCCCGCTTGGGTTACCGGTGGTGTGGGTAGATCAGGGTGGTTGTATGGTGGTGATGTGGTGGCTAAAGAATGGGAATGGGAATACCTAAAGGGGGTGGGGAATCAACTTAGAAAGATTTAGGGGAATGGGGAGGGTAAAGGGAATAAGGTTGTATAGAGTGCGGTTTAGACCGCACCAAACCGCAATTTTGCGGTTTGAAAATTGCGGTGCGGTTTTTAAAAATGACCAAACCGCGGTTTGCGGTTTGGTGCGGTTTCAAAAAATATTGAGACCAAACCGCACTTTAATGCGGTTTACGATTTTTATATTATGTTTTCATTAAAATTATATAAAAGAACTAAGTTATATGAGCTAATCTTTAACTATTAATTAATTAAAAGAGTTTAATATTTGAATTATAAACTAATAATTATAAAATGAAATAAAAGTTTTGTTTTTAAAAAAATAATTACAATTTTAATAAAATACGGTAAACCGCAAACCGCACCGCACCAAACTGCATTTTGCGGTGCTGTTTGGTGCGGTTTTTTTAAAAGTGCGGTTTGGTGCGGTTTGAAAAAAATTATAAACCGCACTTTTGCGGTTTGGTGCGGTTTATGACCCAAACCGCACTGCGAACACCCTTAAAAGGGAATAAGAAAATATGCCTAACAAACAACAACAAAGGGAATCAGTACATTTGATTCCCTTTCCCTTTGATGATTAACCCCAACCAAACGGCCCCTAATAATAATAAAATAAATAAATAATAAACATCAAACAAAACAAAACAACCACCATCAACAACCACCAATTGAAGGAGGTGACAAAGGGATGGTTGATCCGCGGCGAATAAGGGTGACGTATGGTGGAAGGAGCTTGGGCGGCGACGGTGAGCACGTAAAGCATAAAATAAAAATAAAATTAAAAAAAAATGGAACCAGAACTTCTGCCAGAAATTCCAGAAAACCCAAGGGGGATCCGCTTGAAATTTCCGAATCCTCATTCCGGAATTTTCAGGCAGATTCTCCTAGGAATTCTGTTTTTTTTATTTTTTTATTTTCGTGAATAATTTACTTTTAAAAACTATTTGTGATTATGATTATTGTTAAAAAAACATGATTTATAATTATTAGTAATGTTACTGTTAGTATGATTATTGTTATTTTGATTAATGTTAAAAAAACATGATTTATAATTATTAGTAATGTTATTGTTAGTATGATTATTGTTATTATGATTATTGTTAAAAAAACATGATTTATAATTTACTTTTAAAAACTAATAATAATAATAATAATAATAATAATAATAACAATAATAATAATAATAATAATAATAATAATAATAATTATTATTATTATTATTATTATTATTATTATTATTGTTATTATTATTATTATTATTATTATTGTGTTTATGATTATTGTTGTTGTTATTGTGATTATTGACTTATTGGTATTGTTGTTGGTGGTGTTATGACTATTTTTGTTATTATTGTTATTGTTATTAGTAGTAATATTATTAATATTAGTAATTTTTTTTTTTTGAAACCTTGTTATTGTTATTGTTATTATGTTGTTAATGTTTTTTTTTTGTTATTATGATTATTGTTGTTGTTATTGTGATTGTTGTTATTATGATTAGTGTTGTAAGTATGTATTATGTTATTATTTTTTGTAATTATTGCTAATATTTGATTTTGTACTTATTTAATGTAAATCGAGGGTTTTGGTGCTCGTCATGCAATATCACGACGTTTGAATGCAGGGACGAGACAGACAGACATCTTGTTCAATAATGATTGGGTCACCGCTTCAGCTCCAGCAGCAATATGGGTCTCCTAGTGGTTGGTTGGGAGACCATCAGCCATGAAGTAGTCGGCCCATGTATGAGGACGAAGACTCGGCTAGTGATGCTGGTGATCGAGATGAAGAATCGGACCCTCGGGATTATCATATGGTATATACAGGGTCGGCATGGGAGATTTGGTTGTAATCAATTGAGTTAGCCTACTACAAGAGACATGGTTAGTCCAGCAGCTGATGCCATGTGGTCCCGAGGATGGGATTGTTATCCCTAGTTTTGGTGGTCACGTGGCGTCATATATATGGCTCGAGCAGAAGCGAAGTGTTTTGCGGTATTTGAGTAGGTTAAAGTTATGTCCGAATTAGTTCGGTGACGAGGTCGTTAATCAGTGGAGAACTTCGAATTGATTGATGGCAGTTGGTTGTCTCACTTACCCAGGCTTATGTTTAAAAAACTTCATTGGCGGTTGATTTTTTGCTTTTGTTGAGAGATGGCAACCAGATACAAACACATTTCATATGCCATTTGGGGAGATCACGATCATGTTGCACGATGTGTACTACATTCTTGGGCTACGTGTCGATGGTAAAATGGTTACTACTACACCTAGCGTGCTTGGTTACCATGGATATGACTCCGGATGAGTTGATTGAAATTTGCTCAACACTAGCTTCGTGGTGCTCAGTCCACCAACCGGGGCGGAAAAGGTGAATCAGATGCAAGGTTAAGGTCAAGACGAATGAAATGTAACCCACCAACTGTAGCAATCACAAACTCTCGACTCGGTGTTCGGACCTCGTTCCGTGCCCCCAGTGGTAACACTGTGATGCATGAGTAGTAGCAAGGTTAGACTAGGCCTACACCTAGACAAATCACCCTTGTGTTGAACCAAATAGCAATATGAAATAAATCTTGAATTATTACCATCCAATGCCGCTCCCCAACAGCCCCACCATCCCATCGAATACGCTCCATGTCATTCAAAGTCGTCGAATCCCGTAAATCCGTTCGTACAACCGAGAATGACCGGCGATCTCCTTTGCTATTGCTTCCTGAGCGTCAAACCATTGTGCCCAATCACCGAAAAAGAAGGCGGCCACACCACGAAAGTCACAGTTCCCATCACCAATGACATCTTTCCATGACGTGATGTAAGGTAACATCGGACCTGAAAGCTGGTGCAAATGTCTGCATTGATTGTTGCACAAAATTAAAAGTCAATTATTAGTAAAGCTACTAGATGAAATACATTTAATTTATAAAAACAATAGTTGTTTAATAATACCTGTTTCTTGGTCACCACCACGTTGAATGTTTCGACGGTTTACCTGCTCGAAATCGCTTTGATCACACATGATATCACACATTTCGTCACGGACACGTTATTTCCAACGTTTGAGGATGCAGTTAAATGGGCGGATACTGTTTCCATAAATCTGGGATTTATTTTAGTGAAATCGTCTTATATTAAAACCAGAGATGGTCAGCCGAATCGATATTTAAAATGTGATCGGGCACAGAGGAGCAAGCAAGCAGAGAGATTTGGAGAACATGATACGGAAGGACACAAAAACCAAAGCTAATGGTTGTCCTTTCTACATCAAGATAAATTATGAAATCACCACTGACATTTGGAAGATCCGTGC